TGCATCCCCTAGTATTGGTAGGTTTAGGCCAGGGGTGGCGAACGTCGGTCCTGGAGAGCCGCAGCCCTGCAGAGTTTTGCTTCAACTCTAATCAAACACACCTGAACAAGTTAATCAAGGTCTGAACGGTTACTAGGAAGTTACAGGCAGGTGAGTTTTAATTAGGGTTAGAGCTGAACTCTGCAGGGCTGCGGCTCTCCAGGACCGGAGTTCGCCACCCCTGGTTTAGGAGTAGGTGTGGGGGAGGGGTTAGGATTAGGGGTGGGGCTGGGATTAGGCAATCAGGTAGCGACTTCAATGAGGGGGTGCATAATCTGGCAGAGGTGCAGAATTCGGCACAACCACAACACCGGTCTAGTTCAACCGTAATAAAAGATGTTGAAGCATTTTCCACAACCTTTGATAAAATGGCATTAAAAATCTGTAAAGTTTTGCAGGTTGAACTAATGCAGACATTGTGATGGTTTAACTTTGTGACATTTCTATCTTTATAATTATTATTAAAAATCTTTTAGATTTATTATGACTTTTAGCTATTGTATTTTGACAAGCCTGTAGAAAATATACACGTGGTATGAATTTTAACATATGGCAGAAGTTTATGCCAGCAACATCTGGACTGATGGCAAAGGAGAGGAAGAGCCCATGGTGGGATGGGAGAAGGCCCAGAGAGTTTCATGGAAAAATAATTTGTTATCTCCAAAATATACTGACTGACTTGATTAGAGAATAAATATGTGTTATTAACGATCATTTGCATATCTCATTGCAAGTGTTTTTTTTCTGCCCGTGTTTGAATGATAATAACTAAGGAGGATGATTTGTTTCGATATTATTAACGGAGATGTTTTTGTTTGTTATATTTTAATGTTGATGTTATTGTTCATGTGTGTGTTTGGCCCTCAGATGTCTAGCCAGTATCAGCGAAGTGTTCCACTGGAGGTCAGGAGAGCGGAAGGGGAGAGAGTCCGCACCAAACATCCGGATAAAATCCCGGTCAGTCTCACAGTTGGAAACTACAATAACAAACAATAATACATTTATGTTACATTTAAGACTTTTTTTTTTCACCCAAAAATGAAAATTCAGTGATTATTTACTCACCCTCAGGTCAATCCAAATCATTCTTCTGCAGAACATAAAAGAAGATATTTTGAAGAATGTTGGTAACCAAACAGCTTTGGTGACCATTAAAAAAAATGTTTTGAGGCATTTATCGAAATATCTTTTTGTGTGTTTCACAGAAGAAAGAAAGTCAAACAGGTTTGGAATGATAGGAGAGCGAGAAAATAATGACAGAATTGGAATCTTCAGAATATTATATTGGGTATTTACTTGTTTGTTTGTCTCCTTAGATAATTGTGGAGAGAGCTGCAAGGTCACGAGCTCCTGAGCTTGACAAAAAGAAATACCTTGTTCCTTCAGACCTCACAGGTGACAACTCTTATTTCATACAGTATATGCTCCCCAACAGGATGTTATTAAAAAAAGAATAACATCTGTAAATTTACAGCGGAAATCAACTCATCTCATGATTGTCCATAAGCATTGCGTAATTTTATACCGGGATATTAAGGCCTTTTCAATTTTTTTGAGACTGTCTGACCTTAAACTTCCCTATTCCTTTCTTCTTTAAGAAAGAAATGAAACTGTTTAGAAACTGTTAAGTTTTGATCTGACTGAGTTTCTCTCCACACCCTCCTCGTCTTCTTCCAGTCGGTCAGCTCTGCTTCCTGATCAGACAGCGGGTGTCTATGAGACCAGAAGAAGCGCTCTTCTTTTTCGTTAAAAATTCCCTTCCTCCATCCAGTTCCCCCCTCTCTGCGGTGTATGAGGTAACTCAAGCACCCTTCCTCTTCATTACCGCTGAGTAAGATACTGAACTTTATTAGCA